AATGAATTGATGAAATACTTGATAAATAAGAATCAAAGTCTTTCATCCTTTTAACCCTTATATTTTACACAGATAATTAGGTTTTTTGATGCGAAATCTGCTCTTTCTCAAAAATCAAAATGGATTTCAGATCTAAAATTGTACATGTTGTAGGCCACTACAGTCTTGAATTAAAAAGATACTGAACCTTAAAAATATATTTTAAAAAAAAAAAAAATTGAACTGTTCATTACTGGTCATTTTAGTTCTCACGTATTCTCAGTGCACTACTTTTTGAGCTGCAAACCTATGGATTTAAAGCCCATATGTTGTATCTCATATGACTTAGGATGTATTTCATATCCTAAACCCATCTCTAAGATGAATTTCTGAAAGAGGGTTTGCATTTGTATAGGACCTCCTTTAAATATTTTCCTTACACAAATCACTAATATGGTTTTTTTAAAATTAGACGGGGGCTGTTTGTCATAAAATTCAAAGTCACATGCATTTTAGTGTGTACTAGAATCGATAGTTATCAAGATTAGGCTAGACATGGTGGTGGTCCGACTAGTCAAACCGCCAGCTGATGTTTTTATTGGTTTAGTCTAGAGCCAAAAACATTGGGTTTTGATGAAAATGTATGAAAATTAATGTGTTTGACACGTTTAGCAGACCGATCGGTTTTGACCAACTGGATCAGCGAATTGTAGTAAAATTGTTTGATATACTATATCATATTTTTATATCTAACTAATTCGACTGACGGTCAGATTGATTTTAACTAGATCAAACACTTTACTGGTTAGTTAGCCTTTCGATTTTGATGGCTCTGCTGAAACAAATTCCTCCTTACAGATGCATGTGCTTTCTTTTCTTCTTCTTCTTTTTTTTTTTTTTTTTTTAATTTTTTTTTAGGCAGAGTTGACCGCATGATTATATTTTAACCATAACTGCCTCGTATCAAAGTCGGATCATCTCTTTTGATTGATACTTAGATCTTGTGAAGGAAAGAAATGGAGTAGCAAGAATCCCTACAAACCTTTCTTTGTACATATCTTATTTAATCAATGCATATATTAGCAAGAAAAGAAAATACATTAGTATCATTATTCTTTTTCTTGTTGGGTAAATATGTCATCAAAATACTCAACAACATTCAAGCAAATTACTAAGAT